GTATATTTACATAACACTCTCTCAATGGAGTTTGTTTTAATCTTTAAATTGTACATTTATGATGGTGGTATAGTATAGTATAGTATAGGCGATCACTTTTTGTTGTGAAAATCTAGGAGCAGATAAGGTTAATTCATGAAAGTTAAAAGGAATGAGTGTGTGCTTTCTAGATGGATGATTCAGCTAAATTTACTGCACGTTATTAACAGATTATGTTTATTATCTGTGTCAGGTGGCCCACCGTTTTTCCCGCCTGTTTTCTACATATCTAKGACTAAAGAGTTYAAAATATTTYTATTTGGTACTAATACCGTGTCTACTGATCTGTGGAAGTTTTTTTCCAACAGACGAAAAAATAATGATGTTCCCTGTAATGCAAAGCACTAGTGAATTTTTCAGTCAGATACGTTTKCTCTCTGATTTATGATCCCTAAGTTTCATAAAGATTTTAATTTGTCCTTGGTCCATTCAAAATTGATTAAAAAGTCTTTCCTAAATTCTAGAGAGGGGAAAATGCTTTCRTAACTTAAGGAGTTGAATGCAAAAGAGGATTTCCACCACAAATCACTATGTTTAAATTTTCTGTTGATTGATTTCTTTCATAAGCAAACAGGTTTTGAGACAGGTCATTAAGCAGTTTAATTGCAAGGGATTTTGAATGAAGTACCTTTGATGAAAGATAAAAAWGATTTTAAAGTTCCAAAATCAATTAGCCACTAGAAAGTAAGAGCTACTTTCAATTAAAWTGGGCGATCCRTCGAATACTTTTGAGTGCTTGCATATTTTTTCCATGACAATTATTGACGCTTATCAATTAGAGGATTTTATMGCAGCTACATAAATAAACTGACCCTGAATTTATATGTTCTTTACTTAAGTAAGATTACTATTAAAATSCTCTTCAAAGTTTCATTCTCTATTTGCAATAACAACAAATGGTGTTGAATTTGTCACCTTAGCCACTCGTACTAGTACAKCTATAGCGCGTAATCTTTTAGGTTTCCCTATAGGTATTTATAATTACAAATAAATATATCTGCTTGCTTTACGATCTATATTATCAGTGTATAGTGTCTAAAGACCATCGATTCATTGTTAGCCAGCTTGTAGCATTGTAAACCCAGTCGTTACTTAAAAAAATAAATTTAGTGAGCAAAAAGATCCATGTAATATCGAAGAACATCTTCGAGTCATATTMGTTATTTTTGAAGCTTTATAAAATAGTTAAACTTCTCTAAACATAGCTGAACATATCTAAAGCAAAATTAAGTTTTTTTTAGATAATCTTTTAYCACATGTTTGACTCATGATTCAAATATCAACAAACAGAACTCGTTGATAGCACAAATTGAAACSCGGAAGTAGAAACTCCTTCAGTTAAAATTGTTGCAATTTCTGTCATCAACAATGATGATGATAGCTTGAGATTAACAACACAATGATCTAAAAATCGTTTCTTTCAGGCGCCATTCCAAGGCCAAATCTGAATGCTAGCAAATCATTTAATGTGAGTCATACTACAGTTGCTTGTCTTCAAGTCTAACAAGCTTTTTTATATTCCATCTTCGTATAGTTTGCAAATGCCAAAAGCTAGCAAAGTTGCAACTGAAACATGGGAAAGAGATGGAATAAAAGCGTCGAGGAAAGATTGTTGAGTTTGATACTTATTCTACTACTAAAACAGGTGTCTTATTCTAGTTGAGTAAACAGTCGTAATACATAAGCCAAAATCACGATACTTTCCTTAGCACCTTACCTAGAACGGCGAGAGCAACCAGCAGGCAAAAGAAGTTGGCTTTCTGAAGACATTTGCTGATCGTCTGCCTATTCACGTCTCCCAGTCCAAGCATAGAGCGAAATCAAGTGAAAAACACATGAAAACTATTATACTTTGAATAAAGGACACTTTGCTATCACTACTTGTTCTATAATGTSGTGGTTTGTGCAGAAACGGTTCATTTTTCGTCGTTAATCAATGCTATTCATGCATGCCAATAACCAACAGATTTATCTCACGGAAGACAGGGATATCCTTTTTTCGTTTTSAAGCTAAAAATCATCGTAAAGTTCACGTTGTCCATCGTTGCGGAACAGGCGATATTTTGACTCTAAAACATTCATGTGCTCATCGAAGGAAAACATCTATGATGTCATAAGCGAAGCATCAGTGTCCCTGTGCTATCTACTTGAAAATCATATGTAAATAAATTGGGAGGAATAGATAAGGCATTTTCTGCATTAAAACGCAACAATTGGTAAACAAAACGGTGAATTCTAATTGAATTTGAATGATTACGAACGCATAAGTTAGCTGTGTTTTGCTAATTAGGAAAGAAAGGAAAGGCACGGTCCGTGTTTTATGTCAAAACGATACCTGCCRAGAACAATAAAAAGAATTGATTTTTTGCGCCCGGAAACTGACATGCATAGAAASAAATAGCCTCGTCTTTGATTTAAAATAATCGAAATGAGCGGTTTTTGCTGTCTTTTAATTTAAGATATCAGAACATTTAGTGATCTTTTAATTTAAAAGTCAAGAGGCTTAAATGAAATAAGTTTCTTGAAATAACCGCAYTGCTTATGTTTATAGATAGAATCGGAAAGATCCTCACGGATCAGTAGTTCTAARATAAAACATCAACGCACAGTTACTAAATTACAGAAAATCGAGAATTTTTCATCACCACATTCAGTGAGCGCAAATTTATCCATTGTCAAAATTACGCTGATAACTTTGGCGGGAACTGRAATAAAACTCTAAAATTCCCGATTCTAAATATCACGTGTCAAATAAAGTTCGTATTTACAACGTTGGGCTATATCTTTGCATGCCGGATGGGCACTTTGTTGAATYTATTCATTTTCATTTGTTTTATCCTAGATCCGCGCCCTTCTAAAATACTAACATGGTTCAATATTATAAGTTCTTTTAATTTAATTTTTTTCCTGGTTTCTTAACGTCACATTAATACTCTGATTTAAAGCAAGTTAAGATGTAACTAAAATTACTTTGACAGAAAGACAAATAAAGGTTGAATGATTGATTTGAGCTATATTTCCCWTCATCAGGCAGCTCTTATTAGTTTTGAAAGTTACCGTAGTTAAAGTGAAAGTTAGGCCTTGTAGTGTAATTTATACTTATCAAAGATCAATACCGCTTTTAATCAACACTATCTTTGGATATTTTCATAAACTGCTTTATAATTTTCAGGTATTTTCTTTTTTCACACTTGTCAAGTTTCTTAAAACCCGCATGTCAAAGAGTATCCCGAACCACGCCCCTCGTGTAAATCAGACGAATGGGGCCTCGGGGAAATGGGAAGACGTGGATATGCATAGGGCGCAGGAAATGGGAGAATTTGGCCTACCTATCTCCATTCTTCCTCAGAATACGGAATCATTTTCGATAACGATTTTGTTATCTTAGGTATTAAGGTGTTCGGTCATTYATGTTCAAAGGATTCTTTCCCACAGAAGTTTATCTAGTCATTTACTTTTKCACGCACGCGCACCAATTGACCAAAATTAAAAAAAAATAAATATATAAATAAATAGAAATTTAAAAATTGCTTACTTTTCTTTGGTTTATTGTCATACTTCATGATCTACATTAAAATTTGGTCTTTTTCGACTTTCTTGGCAATTTTTCTTCAGCTTTTATACTTCTCTCATTGATAWAATAAGAAGTATTTTGCGATACACTCTTCATTGTGTGTAAACAATGTTTTTGATGAGTAGTAACGCTTGTAAGTGCTTAATTAAAACTTGATTGTGACTGATACAAAATKTCTATGCTGYCGGTAGTTCTAACACAACCCGACAAAAGTTGCGAAGTAATACTRCATGAATTAATGTACAATATGTAAAAGTAGAATATCAAAAACTTGAAGGGAAGATAAATTATTTTCTCTTCTTTAGTTCTTCAAATCGTCGAGTTAGGTCATCAAAGTCAACATCCTCTCCACCGCCACTGCTGGCTCCTGGGATACTACCAGATGGCAGGCTATTACTGGGTACTGAAGGTAGATCTGGGAAGGCTGGGGGTGCTGAAGGAGCTGGTGGATTTGGTGGCCCTGCTGCTTCTAAAATCAAAGAAATAATCTATCTTTACAACAGCCCTTTCTTTGTATTCTGCAACATAACTCTTAGTTGCTTCAGGGCGTGTCTATAGGGGTGTCATCTAAGGTGCTCTTAACCCGGCCCTTTCAATGCCAAAATCAAGAAATCTTATCCTTGGACCAGTGTGAAAGGATTTATTTAGACTTAAGATAATAAGATGTGGAAATGAGTTTTCTATAATGTTTGAAAACTGTTTTTGTAATTCCAACTTTTGTTAAAAATAATACAAAAATTAAAAAAATCATTTGAACAAGAAACTGATTTGAAGGAAGTCTCTTTGTAGTGGTGTTAATGCAGCTTTCATGAGTCTCTTTACATCACCGCAAACACTCAAAACACTTGAATCTCACTGTTTTGTTCGGTCGTTTTGTTCAAATGAATGTAAGATGTAAAGAAAAAAATCACTTACTTGGTGGGTTACTTGGAGGATTGCTGGGTGCTCCTACCTCAGGTGGGTAAGGGTTAAACTATGTTAAAAGCAAAAAACAATAAGTCAGATCACATTGTAGGTATCCTTAATTGCATTAGTTCACACAGACTGCAGTAGATACCTTTTGAGGTGTTGGATATGCTGCATCGGATGGAGACGGTCCTCTAGCTGCAGGGGGGTATGCAGCATCAGGGGGAGGTGGTCCTTTGGCTGCAGGTGGATATGGGGGAACTCCACCACTCTATGACAAAACATACAGGGAATTGTCAAGAATTGTTCTCGTAATATAATAAAGAAAGCAAAATCCAATGTATGTTAGTGCTAAAAAAGGAATAATAAATCTTAAATAATCCTATCCTATAGATTAAATGCTGGTTAATAACTCATAAAAATCCAATGGAGTTTATACTGGATTAATGCTAATGGACTTTGAACTCTTCTGCCGTTGTGATTTGGAAAGAATTGTGCGACTGAATCAATGACATTATCAATTTATTTCTGTTGCATTTGTATAATTCTACTGCTGTGTGATTGATCAGTTATATTCAAGTTAGCACAATGATCATCATAGTACAAGACAGATCAACTGTCATTTAATTGACATCAACTGTCATTTAATTCAATAAACTTATAACCATACTTACTGGTGGTGGATAGGCCATACCAGGATTTCCTCCAGTCATTGCAGGGATACTTGGTAAAGTGTCTATTGGCTTGCCTCCAGGGTTACCAAAGTTTTCAAAACCAATTCCACCACCTCCCCCTCCTCCTCCATAACTGCCTCCCCCTGGAGGTCCTCCATAGCTGCCTCCCCCTGGAGGTCCTCCATAGCTGCCTCCCCCTGGAGGTCCTACATAGCTGCCTCCCCCTGGAGGACCACCTTGAAAATCAAGGTCTTCTTCTGACTGGAAATTACAGAGAGAATTACAATTAGTCTAAATAAATTATATTTTTCATTATTATCATTATTAATTATAACAATACTGGAAAACAAGGGCAATTTATTATGTGGTTCAAAACTTGATGTATCATCTCCAATCACCAATATGCTGTTTCAGTTCGGCTCTCTCCATTAAAACTAGAATGTGAAAAACTACCATTAACAGTACAGCAATCTTATCTCTTTACTTACTGCCATAACAGAGGGGTCTGGTTCAAATTCTACATGATGACTTCTTGCGATCTCAATCAAATATCGCTCAACTAGAATCTTTGGYGGTGGGTTTGGACTCAGCTTTTGGATCAACTACAAGAAAAATGATGGTTTAGTTTCACAGTTAGTGAAGCAGAATGTAGTCTGTAAATATACTTACACGTGTATTGACRGTTCCRTTACAGTTTGTACTCGCTTCATGTCCAAACTTCTTTCCGTATTTGTATCCCAGTTGGTCAGATATCTAGAAAACAATATTGTTAACGTTAAAAAAAACAGCATATTTATTAATACTAATGATTCTTCAAGTTATAGCAATTACTAGTATTACCAATGACTTTTGTATTGACATTAAAATGTTTTATAAACTTATATGGAAAATATAATRTCACATTTCAAGAGTATATATGCATCAATAAGTTTCTATTTTGAAGACTGTGAAAGTAAAAACACCRTGCTTTAAGGTAGGGACTTTTATATATCTGCTAGTTCTGAATCTTTGTATTGGGTTTATCATTCAGAGTATAATGAGAGGAACATTATTTTCAAATCAACTTACAATTTTAAACTCTTGAATATCTGTTTGTAGTCTTGGAGCAGCCCATATGATTGTTGTAACAGCCTCAATCATCCCCTCATCACAGTACCTAAAAATACCCAGAGAATATTAAGTTATATAATCCTTTACATACTASACATTTTGTTCAACAACATGTGAATTATGTWAAAACAAATGAAAAGAAAAGCAAAGATGTTAAAGGAATAAAAATGYAAGTTCCAAGTAGAATAATAAACTAATAATTTATCCATACGTGTATAAGCAATGAAATTGGACTTACGACATAGTCTCAATCAAACCAAATCTTGCTAGAAGAAGATCACAATATAATTCAAGTAGCTCCAAGGCTTCCACCAARAAGTCTTCTCTTATGATATGCTCAACCTGAGGTCAAAAGTCATGCTTTATATTATTTCATATCAAAGATTGGCTATCCCCCCTAGCAACATTCTTTTCATCAAATGTATGCTTGACAATGATAATTGCACACAGATTGCTTCATTGCTAGAGCCCAGGTGTAATCTTTTCCTCACTCTGTGAAATAATTAAAACCTCTATGTACAGATCTGTTATACCTTTGTCTGGAATTAAGTTCAAGTCATRAACCTGAGGTCAATCCCATGTCATGGCATGCAGTTTTGCCTTCTAAAATGGCTTGAAAATGGAACATGATTTTTGACTGGTCGACATCTTGGTCCAAATTTGACAGGTTGATTAATTTACTGGAAACTGTTTTGAATATTGAAATGAGAACGAGGTCTACCAGACTTTGTGCCTAAGGTCAGGTTGTTCAAAGCCCAAAACACATACATTGAGATTTGAACAACCCAGCTCATCATTATTATTTCTGGGAGTGAGAAACAAGCAACAGAAATTACTCCTGGGTTTCTGAGGTCCATGCGATAGCTTCATTCAAAAACATTTTATGATAACAATTATATGATATGACCTGATATGCTAATAATACTATCAAACACAATGGGTAATTAAAAACACATGTAATTCAACTATAATTAGCAACACAGGTATTGAGAAACAACCAACTTCAACGAAACTCAGCTTTCAGAGTTCAACAATATAGGTGTATGTATCTAAAGGTTTATGCAAAAACTAAAACGAAAGCTGTTATCAATTACCATATTTCCCTCACCCTAATTCTTGCTCGTTCATCTTTTCCATTTGATATATAATCAGCWATTTCTTTTCGAGCTTTTTGAGCGAGTTCAGCTACAAAAGGTATGATGAGAGSAGGAATTCATTAACAATTTAAGTTACATTTATAGAACTGTACTGACACGCTACCAAAAGTACATGTTTTGCGTGTAAAATATACCGAAGGACGTAAGAAAATATCCAAATATATTATGACGAAGTATYAAACTGCTTTCAAAACTTCAAAACCAAACTTACTCTTTTTCTTCTCTAAGAGTTTGAGGCGATTTATCGCCAATTTCAGATTGGTCTTGAGTTTTTGTTTGGCAAATCCTGAAAGAACCATTTCAAAGTGTTAATGTTGCGTCYTGTTCAAATGATTAAGCAATTTTAAAAGAGAACAAGTMAGAATATGATCTAAATTTACCCATTACAACAACTACAGCTCATCCGCCATTACCAACACTATGACGTAATGTCGAATTTATAGAAACAAACTGTCGGATGTGACCGAGCAGATATTGACTTAAAGCGAAGTCGTTATTTTCGATTGCAGTTCCTAAAATGAATGATTCGGATATAAAGTTTTGAATACAAAATCCCCTATTTTACTTGATAGAACAGAACAACTACGATTTAGTGAGAAATTCGTGAGAAATGAAACAATTCTTCAACTTTCGGATGTTTTCGGAATGGGTCGCAAWCTATCGGCTTCGTATCGGTCCTAATCGTAAAAGTGTAAAATCAATAGTGGAATATGGATAAAAAAAATATTCCTTTATGAAAACAACTGCTTCATGTCATCATAGTAATGCAAAGTGTTCAAAATCTAATYTCTGGAGACATCTCTAGACTAATTTTCCAGAGATTTGTGAAGCCAATGCTGCCGCTGGTCAACTTTAGGCTCAAAGTGCAAGTCATTTGTGATTGGCTTGTTCTTTCCCGCGAATTATCAAAAACCGCGGGAGAATTTTTAATTTTCATTGAGTCGTAAACGACATTTGAATAGGACGCTTTGTGTTGAACATTCAGTTAATATTTTCGCTCTTAAAGACTTAACATACGCAAAATGCCTCGGACAAGGAATAGCTGTACATCTCTACAATCTACTATTGATTTTCCAGCACGGAAAACGCGTTCAAAAGGCAAAGCTGARTCGAAATTTGCCACTGGTCTTACCACATCACCACGGAAGCGAACTGAACGAACCTCAGGTACAATCAATTCTAATTTTGCCGTCTTTTCGCGCATATATATTGAACAAACATTGTGYTCAGCTATATAGGAAGTCTTTCTGCCATACGGCTTTGATGTTTGGGCAGTTTCAGCTGATATACGTCGATTGTTGAGTCGAGCATCGTTGAATMTCAAACGCATTGCCGCCATTGTGAACATGCAAGTTTGAGTGCAATCAAGTAGTTAGGCTGATTTTATTATTTACACATGAAACGATCTTGAAATGACTCTAAGACTTTAAGAAGGAAAATCTGTATGAACTAAAACAGGGAAAAGCGAAATGTGAATGTCCTACGATCGCTTCCCGTCGATCACTAAACAAGTGCCAAATAGCGTGATGCAGATAAGAGTTMAAGCCTGTTATCKTTTACAAAAAAAWWTTCAGCTATGAAAGGATACGAGAAACAGTCATTTTTTCTATTTTAATCTTTATCTTCACAAAGTTCTCCTGCAAAGAAAGCTATTTTATTCTTAAATTTTGTAACCATTGCAAATGATGCATGCTTGCAATCCGATTTATGCATGCATAATATGCATTGTTATGGTAATTGTCAAGGAAACTATTGTTTATTACAGTAATGAGGTTATTGTCTACATTTCCCTTCATTCAATAACTTCAATGTGGTTGCATTCATTGTCTATATGATGAATGCAGAAATTGCAGAGTACTTWATGCATTTATTAATGTTATGATGCTTGTGTGATTTATATACAAATAAACAACTTCTATTTTCCCAATATTTATAGTGAAAAAACCACTGGTTTCACCAAAGAAAAAGAAAAATAACAAAGGCCATGCAGAAGATGTCTTTTCAGGTGATGAAAACCAAGTTCACTCAGATCCCAAGTTAAAAAAGACGGCGAGTCCAGTCCAGTCAACTCCCTTAAGTACCTCTGCTAATATAAAACCATTGAAGAGTGAAACCAGGAGTCCTGWACTGAAACAAAAAACTCCACGCACACCATCATCTCAAAAGTTTAATTGGTTTGATAGCAATCCAACACCATGTACTCCAAAATCACGATCTGYGTTATCATTAGGAAAAGCACAAGGTAAGATGAAGTTGTTTTGATTGTACTTTACCACAGAAAATCTAATTGGAATAATACTGATACCTTAAGTTTCTAAAACAAACATCTATTTGACATTTGGATTTGTTTTATTTGCCTTTGTAATGTTAATTTATATGTAAACATATTCATCTAACAAATSAATTAAAAATTAAACAAAGCAATCATACAAAAGGTTGACTAAAGGCAAATTAAAACTGATAGAGGTTTGGTCTTTTGTAATAAAGCTAAAAATTTGGTGAAAGGCATTGCAGTTTTTACTAGTTTTGATACAATCATATCCACGTGACATGTTATTTGTACATTTTATAGGACTTTGTTATAGTGCAGTGAAGAAAGCACTCCATACAGGTGCTCCAAGAAGTGTTCTTTGCAGAGAACAAGAGCAAAAAACCATTAAAACATTTCTTCAAAGTCACATCACAAAGAAGCAACCTGCAAGTTTATACATCTCTGGAGCTCCTGGGACTGGTAAAACAGCTTGCCTTACGACGGTTATGAAGGAACTTGAGGTAGGCTGGAATCTCAACAGAAGTTATATAATCTCTTAAATGTTGCTACAATAATTATGCTAATATTCATCTCAAGGCAGYGCTATCAGAAAAGAATTTATGGTTATTACATAAGACTTTATTGCCATAACAATGAAGTAACAAGAGAAATACCCATACATGTAATAATTATTTRATATTTTTCAATTGTAGGATATAATGGAAGATTGTCCAACAACATTTATTAACTGCATGACGCTGCAGCATTCTTACGCTATATTTTCAAAAATCATTGAAGATTTTGAATTCAAAGAAAAAGTATGTCCAAAGGATTCCCAAAAATTBCTCGAAAAGAAATTCACTTCATCAGGCCCAATGAGGTAAAGATATACTATGTTCACATGCAAATACACACAACGATTATTAAATTCTAATTTTTCATCCARATGATTTTATTGCATGTACTAACCTTACATCTTTGTTTTCTTTAATTTTTAGGATTCTAATCCTTGATGAGTTAGATCAGTTAGAGACAAAAAATCAGGATGTTCTCTACACTATGTTTGAATGGCCTTCACTCCCTAAATCCAAAGTCATTCTTATAGGTAAATGCACTGAATCTAATCCACTAAAACTGGAGATGTTAGAAAGTATTATTAACCAGAATTGGTTTTGTTTAGGCATAGCAAAYGCTCTTGACCTGACAGATAGACTATTACCAAGACTTCAAGCTAGACCAAAATGTAAGTAAAAAAGAAGAGGAGTTCAAAGTCAATATTATGATATGTTCATTATTTAAACTTGTTTTMAAATATTTTACAGGTAAACCTGAATTGCTTCACTTTTCTCCATACACAAGGAATCAAATYGCAACAATATTACAAGACAGAGTTTCACAGGTATGACAATTTCTTTTAAAATAGCACTGAATACTTGTGTGCTGTTGTTTTTGGTTTTGCTTTGTTGTGTTTTTTGTTACCTCTTCAACTATAGTTTTATTAAATCAAGGTTTTTATTTCAGAGCCAGGAAAATGATGTTATTCTAGACAATACTGCAATACAGTTTTGTGCAAGAAAGGTAGCTGCAGTGGCYGGTGACATGAGGAAGGCCTTAGACATTTGCAGGTAAAACATATTTTTCAATTTGAACAATGCACACTTTTCACAGTAAAATATAACAATTGYTTGATGATATTGTGTTGTCTAATAGGAGAGCAGTTGAAGTTGTTGAGGCTGAYGTAAGAAAGCAACACATCCTTCAGCCAGTATCAGGTAGGATTTATATTCATAGTTTTTCAAATAAAACAATACCAAAGAAGATTGACGTAAAGTGGGCATAAACTGATGGTATAGGGTTATAATTCATTTGAGAACGTAAGAAAAAAGACAATATTGTTAATAAATTTATTGAAAGTCCATACTTATTGATAGAATGTGTATGTTTATTTACAGATCGARTGAATTCACCGCAAAGTGCTTGCAGTCCTGCTCCAACTCCTAAGAAAGTTGGTCTATCACATATTGCTAATGTTGTATCTGATGTSTATGGGTCAAAAATCATGTCAGGGTCAAGCAAAGGTGGTCAGCCTACTATTCCACTGCAACAAAAACTGTTAATGTGCACATTAATGCTCTCCATGAAACAAGGAAAGTCTAAAGAAGTCACAATWGGAAAGGTAAAACCAAATGTTTTAGTAAAATCTTTCACAGATGTTTATTCAGTTCTGACAGTACGTGGKRYACTGCATAGAGGGGACTGGGGAGGACCRAGTGGAGAATGGGAAGGACAAAAAGGGCCTGCAAGAGAYCCCGTGATGTAACCGTTTTTCTTTTCTTTTCACAGCTTCATGATTTATATAGTAGTGTGTGTAAAAAGCAGCAAATCACTGAAGTAACACAAGATGATTTTATTGGCTTATGTAAGATGCTTGAAGCTAGAGGGATTGTTGGTCTAAAGAAAGCCAAGGAGGCCAGACTTATTAAAGTKAGTTTCAAGTATTTTTTTCTTTATGTTGAGTTTATTTCAAAATAAAGCCGATATCATTTTGTACAATAATTAAGATATTTTTGATGGTAAAATGTAAGTAAAGGATAACATGATACTGTTATTTTTCAGGTATCATTAAAGATTGATGAAAAGGAAGTTGAATATGCACTTCAAGATAAAACTCTACTATCTACAATTCTACAAACCAGTAATGCATAGAATTCATTAAAATAAACTACTATATTTACATGTAAAAAGACTAGCTAAATTCTATTGTATAAAAGGCACTGTTTTACTTTTATAGGACAACMAATTTAAAAATATTTTCTAAGGAAGACAAATTTTGTGAAAAAATTATTTTTGAATTTTTAATCTTATGATAATTTTATACACTRTAATGTATTTCAAACCATTCAGTGATAAAATGTAAATAAATACTTTTTTCTAATACACTGCATTCCTTATTGCTATATCTATTCCTTGTAAATCTCATACAATACCGATAAATAAAACATCAGCATTGAATGCATATATAGTGTATACTAATACTATACATGACTGAAAAGACCATTACTGAATCAATTTATACAAAATTCGTTTACACCATTCTCCTTCAGGCCATGATTGTATAGATCCCTTGCAGTTCGTTGAAATGCAACTCCAACTGGAGGACAAAACAATAGATTCTAGTTCCCAAGAGGGTAAAAATCTTTTGTTTTGTCCTCCAGATGAAGCTTCTTTGAYGTCACATGCAAGGGGTCTATACCGGTACACTGATACAATACCACTTCTCATGTTGTAAAGTATATCAGCAGTATAAATATCCCATTTTTATTTGCAACATGTGTCATGACAATGACAGCAAGTAAGTCACAGCAGATGCAAAGTTGGTACACACTGCAAAAGGAGGTTTTGTCAGCTTGTTTTCATCTCCCTGTCTGTACTTTCCTAAACAGAAAACAAACGACTATGTTATTGGTTCATAGAAACAAAAAAGCTTAAAACAATGATGCAAAAACTATACAATGCCCAAAATACAAAGAAACCTAAACAATAGAATCCAATACACAAGGAAACACCCATGTTATCTTACTCTTGAAAGAGTGACTGGTATATATTGCTTTGTCTGTTACCTGTCTTCACAAGAATKCCTTTGATTCCAATTCTTTGTGCACCATCAACATCGTCTCTTGCATCCTGAAATAACAGTTCATATGTTTATGAGAACTAAAGGCAATTAAGATTCATCAAGCTTTATCCAGGCATCATTAAACAACTCTTGCCATTTTGAATTTACTGACATGTATAACAATTGAGTTGCTAATATTTTTAATAGTCATCCTCAGTTCCTCAACTTCCATTATAACTGTATCTCAACAAGTTCTTCAAGTTCTTTACTTCATCTCTGTGTTATAAAAACTTACATCACCGATCATGACTGTTGATTCTGCATCTGTATTCATGTTGTCTAAAACTTGTTGAAAGAATCCAGGCTCTGGTTTGCCAACAACTTCTGATTTAGWATCACAAGAGTATTCTAGAGCTGTGACAAAAGGACCAGGACCRAGAGCTAGCCCATCGCCTCTCTTGTAGTATCTTCCCTTGTGTATTGCAATCAAAGGATGGCCTTCCAGAACTAATCTGCAAATAAATATAAATTATTAGTATTACCATACTAGTGGACTATTGSAAATCCTTCGTTCTGATTGGCTATGCTACTCGGGGTCAATTTTCAATAGTCTAGTGAAAAGCGACAAATTTTTGTGTATTTTTATTAATAAAAAGTTTAGTTATTTATATATTTCATTCATTTTTTGTCCAACTAGTATGGTAATACTGACACAATTAGATCTCTTGGCCTCATGGACTACGAGCTGATGGATATCAGCTCGTAGTCCACTCTCCCTCGAGGTCTAATTGTTAAATAGTATTTACAGTGACAATAAAAAATATTCCCAGTAAAATATATTATTAATTCAGTAAAATGTATTATTAATCAGTAAAATCAGTCCAACGTCTATTGTAAATAGGATCCCTGGCTTTGAACAAGAAAATGACTTAATGGAAAATAGGTTGGGCTACCTGTGGATTCTATAATACATGTTTTGTT